TTCCTTACCTTTCAAATGTTCAATAGTCACATGTGGATTAGTGGCTACCATATTGGCAATGCATATATGGAGAACAAGAGCAGCTTTTTTTATCTTGGGAGCAGGGAGGAAACATTTAGGAACTAGAGGAAAGTTGTATTTTTCATCGTTGTTACATCGCACCCTGACTGGCTCATCTTCCCGAGAACCCTATGCAAGGGGGCCTACCCACTCTTTAGTACAGTGATTCTGTGTATTCCTTCCATTTTATTTTGATGCGTCCTATATCATTTAATATTTTACCCATAGGATTCTTCAACATTACAACATAATGTTTGATTTTTTGGCTTCGTTGCTTTCAGCCTGATACACGCTGAACATAGTCTTCCCTTTGGGCTTGTCTGCTCAAGGTCTTTCTTCCTTTGCTTCAGCTATTCTGTGTTCTGGAATAAGGTTCAGAGTCCCTTCTGACGTACGTCTTGGTCTTTTCTTTCCTCTTTTTCGTGACAGACATCTTGCTTTCATCACGTATGGTGTGCTTGATTTCACTCCGCAGCTCAGCTGATTTTCGGTCATTCGTGCTCAGTGAGCCGTGTCTGTTCTTGAGAAAGTCAGGTGGGCTGCCCTCCAGGTCATGTTCTAGCTCTCGTGCCCGAGATTTCATTCTTCAACTTCCCAGAAGCCCCTGACGTTGTGAAGCTTCTCCCTCACCTCTTCTCACGTTCGAGTCCTGTGGATTCTGTCCAGGGAGGACCAAGTGGAGAGGAGCCCTTGGCAGTGAAGAAGGCAGGGTCCTGAAGTCTGTCTTGCGATCTCCTGTGTTTCTGTCTCCCAGACATCTTTTCCAAATGCAGATCTATCCTCTGTGTCCAACGTTTGAATTCTAGTCAGTGGTTATCAGTGCATCCTGATTGCATGTGTGGTCAATTTCAGTCTGAAGAGGTTGGTGAAATTCTTCCATTTCTTTATCACCAGCTCTGGTGATTGGCGTGTAAATTTGAGTAAATGTTGTATGAACTGAGCTTCCTGTAGGTGCACAGATATTCTATCTAGACTCTGTCTGGGGGAGTTCATTTAAATGCTCGTGTTACTTAAGCTAATATCTATCTCAAAATATTTTAAGTGCTGTTTTGATATTTCGTTCCAGGGCATTCTTGGCTCGGGTTTTGCATTAAAAGTTCAAGAACAGCATCGCCAGAAACATTTTGAGAAAAGGAGGAACCCAGCCGCCAACCTCATTCAGGTAAATATCAGGGTGCTAGGAGACGGCAACCCCTGTCTCCGGAGCACTTGTTGGGTCCCTTTGTACGCTCTGTGCATCACGGCTTGGGAGAGCTACTGGCTTTAAACATGAAACCACGCCATGGATTTTGATGGAGCTTCCTGCTCCCCCCACCGTCAGAAGAAAAAAATTTTCAGCACAAGGCAGATAGATGCATGATTCAGATTAATTAACAGTGCCAGCGAGGCCATGTAGAGGTTAGCAGTTGTATGGCTTCTGGGATGACCTAATATGTCTTACAAATTACTTGGTGAAGCATAATTGATAGTTCAGTGATGGAGCAGAACATGGCGTTGGTCCCTGCTTTACAATTACTTTCTCCAGACAGATATACGACGCTGCTGTGAAGAGCAGCATGTTTGTTTAGAATGTCAAGGTTTAGTACCTGTGGAATTGCTTTTACTATCAGCAATGACTTGACACAGTCACCCTATTTTAAGAGCTCGTAGGATTATAGAATACCTCAGTGTTTGAGAATATGAAACAATAGACCTGTTATTTGAAGCTAGCTCTAACAATCTATGTTTTGTTTAACATTTAATTTTTTATTTCAATAACTTAGGCTTGGCTCCCTCCCTTAAAGGAATGCATCTTCTCTTGCCACCCATGCATTTTAGGGAGCAAAATCATCCTGGAACTAGCTTAGGAATCACAAACCAC